TCTCTTATGCATTAGTATTTTTTAAGTAATTACATTCCATATGTTAAGATTTCCCCCATCTTTCCTTCCTTGATTGATTTAGCATTGTATTATTTACTTTCCAAATAGTGGGAGTTTCCTAGATATCTTGGATAGATTCCAAATTATATTATATAAAGAACATGACTTAAAGAACATTGTTTCTATAGTTATTGAGATTTTTTTATGGCTAGGTACATGTTTTTCTTGATGACCAGATATTGTGCAGACAAGTAAGGTGTAGTATTGTTCTACAGTACTTAAATAATTCGTAGTGACAAAATATTTAGAATGTCTAGTCACAATTTTTTTCTAAGTGTTCAAAATATTGCTGAGCATGAACTATGAAAATCTTTTATTATTGAATTTAATTTGACTGATTTAATTCCCTTATAGTCATATCAATATTTCCTCCAAGGACTTTTAAACTCTGCAGTTTGGGGTATGGATATTGTTGTTATTATTATGTTCTTGTGATGAATTGATCCTTACTCATTTCCAACTGACTTTCTTTATCTCTGTTATAATTGCCAAGGTGACTTTACCTGTTGGAACAGTTTCCCTGGCCTAAGTTAAGCTCTCTATTCCTTCCTTCTCATCTTTACTTTGTAATGATTTTAAGTTTTTATGAAACAAATTTACTCTTAGATCTAAATTCTTTGCACAACAAGCATTTATCATCTGCAGTTCTGTGGTTCAAAATTATGAAGTAGATGACGTGGGTAAGTCTGCTCCAAGGTCTTTCTGGACCCTCCAGCAGCCTTCCATCGTCCAAGGCTTTAGTCATCTCCAGGACCTGCATGGGCTTGAAAATCTACTTCCAAACTTAACCACATGGTTATGGGTTCTCAGTTTTTCATAGTCTGTTGAACTGAGGAAGGCTTGGCTTGGGTATCTTTAACATATATGGTAGACTCCTGGCCTCCACAGAAAAAGTGATAAGGAGAGACAGAGACAGAGAGACCAAAAGACAGACAGAGAGACAGAGATAAAGAGAGACAGGCAAGAGAGACAGAAGAGAGAGAGAGAGAAACAGAAACAGACACAGAGACAAAGTGAGAAAGTTCATGATAAAAACTATAGATGTCTTAAAATCTCAGAAGTGTCATCTGAACATTTCTATCATATTTTATTCATTAAAAGCAAATCAGCAACTCCAAACCACATTCAATGGAGCAAGATTACAGAGGGCAAAATACTACCAGGAGGTACTTTCACTGTATTTAATGACGGTATAATTTGTGGAGGGGAAGGGGAAAAACAAGTCATTTAAATAAGGATACAGGTGGACCCGTTGCAACAATGAGAAGTACAAGTTGTCATGTCGAAAACGAAACTTTACAACTTTGGTGGTGGGCGGGGGGGAGCGGGAGGAGGCTGGGAAGGGATGGGAAGGGGAAACAAAGGAGGAGGCTACAATGCTTGATAAGAAATGTACTCATTATCTTGCCCATGTAATTGTAACCCCTCTGTACAGTATTTTTACAATAAAAAATTAAAAAAATACTACCAGGAGGATATGCACCTTAAGCAACCATCGGCTCAGATAAATTTCTCAAAGACGAGTAAGTGCTCTTCTCTTTCTAAGACTAAGTCCACAAAAGACTCAATAGTAGGAAGCCATTGCTTGTATTTTGCTCACATCTCTCATAAGTACACAGGGTTGCACTGTGCTCCACTACAGATATAGAAAAGTACAGATTCTCATCTTCAAATATAAAATCAAGTCCTCTCTTGACTGAACTTCTTGACAAAGTTACTCTTGAAATCAAAGGGTCTATCATAGCCAGCCTCCCAGATGGATTTGTGGGATTTCTTTTTCTTAGTGGAGTACAGTCTGTCCCTACATTTTATTTGTTAAAATGGATAAAGATGTGTTCCTCTTATAAACACATCTTGTAGCCTTAGTAACAGGAAACACAGTGACCCAGACAGCAATGATCTTGAACCATGGGAGCTTTTATTCTGAACAAATTTACATTTTAGTGGAGTTTTGTTGTTGTTGGTGGTGTTGTTATGATTTGTATTGCTTCCTTTAAGTATTAATTTCTGCAGAAATTTTTGGTGCACTTTAGAAAAATCATATAGATTGACAGATCTATTACTCATGCCTATAGTCTTAGACATTAAATTAATAAAATTAGATAAAATAAAATTAGATGAAATAAAATTAGATGAAAGAAAATCAAAAGGATTTTTCTTAGTTATCTAGTTGCCTAGTTAACTACAGACTATTAATGCCACAATATTAAGATGAGCTGATCAAAAGAAGAGAGTGAACAAATCTATTTATTGAGGACTTCGAATTGCAAAGCTCTTTACATGCAGAGCGATATACTATCACTTTTAATAGTATAGGATAGTTTTATTTATTTTTATTTGTAGAGATGAAATTAAGTCTCAGAGTCATTATATTCAATTACTCACGGTCACGGAGTAGAGTTTCTAACCTGTTGGAAGTAGTTAGTAAGATGTAAAGACAAATTCAAATCCAGATCTCTGAATATATCATGTTTGCTCCTCCTCTATTGGGTTGTATTGCCTGACACTCCAAAAATGATCAATTTCTTTTTTACTTATATTTTATTATCTTAAAGTAGTTGTATGAAAAAGTTTCAATTTAACTTGTCAATTTATGAATAAAATGCCTCTTGGATCTTTTTAAAAAACAAACAATAAAAGCTCACTATGTCCACAGCATTTAACATAGTACTGACAGGTGAATAGGCAGTTGATAAATATTTGACAAAACTATGCTTTGTTCTTTTGCGTTTTATTGCAATAGTTTGTGCACAGACTCTATATCTGAATGCATTCCCTACTTATTGACTATATTTAACATTTTGTCTTGTCTTTTATTGATAATTCTGAATGAGACATGTAAAATTGAATCTCCTGGAGGATGAGTCCAGGATTTTTGAATCCATAAGGAATCTAGAGAAATATCCTGTAGCAAGTTGCATCACTGGTCATACTGGTCATTACAGTTCAATTCTTGTACCTGGAATAGTCTTGTGACATAGTCAAGTCTAATGAAGACTTAGATGGAATGATAGGCCAGTTGGTTACCCAGATAGCTAGACTCTGAAAGAAGGCTTTTCATGTTGTAGTGAGCATCCAGTGCAATTGAGAAAATGTATCACAAAAGATTCTCAGAAACAATAATTTTCGGAAAAGGTTGCTCAAAACCAAATGGAGGAAACAAGCCCCCTTTGTTAATGGCAGTACATTCATGGTTTTGAAGTCACTCTGCTAGCCTCCAGGAGCAGAATCTGTACATTGTTTTCTTCTGGGGCCAAGTGCATCATACATTATGGGAAGAAAAATCTTTGCAATCTCTTGGGAGAACCTACTGGAGTTCTTAGCTGCCAATACATTATGGCTCTCGATTGCCAAACTCTGCGAGGCTAGGTTTGGTAAGTAAACTTCAAATTTTATTAAATGAATGTACAGGATTTCCCGTTAGAAAGGCAACAGATTTTTTAAAAAATATTTTTGAAACATCTTAGATGTGTCCCATGTAGCAACTTCAGAATTGATGTATATTTTTGATTCAGAAATTCTAATTATGAAGATCTTCTATACAGAACATAGAGTTGATATAGAATATATACTTCTTGAGAGCATGCCTAGGGATAAAGTGCACACATTAAAAGATGTTTTAATTCAAGAGTTCAACTTTAGGAATTTTTTTTCTTTTTGGTCCCCGGAAGGCTAAATTACTTCTACAGAAGGATGTGCCATCAGCCAAAATTCTGGCTAGAAAGCACATGGAAGAGGCAGGCTGCCCCTATTTATCCCTAATGCAGCAGGCCCGGCTGCTTCACTAATGTTGAGCTCAGGTTCGCAATCTGCTCAAGATGGGCTAGTTTGAATAGGGTAAAATGCATTTACATAATGTTACTTTGAAATAAAATTCACAGCAGAGAAGCAGTCTCAAAATATACTGACACATTCTGCTATTTCTTCAACAATCCGAGGTGTGTCTTAATTCCATCTTGAAAAGAAACCAGTTATAAAACAAACCTTACCTTTCAAAAACCCTTCCGTATCCCACAGCAGTTCCTCTTTCTGTTAACAAGAGCCAAGCCACGAGGCCAAAGCAGTAACTTGACAGAAAAAACCACTTGCCTCACAATTCTCCACTCCTTTTTTTTCTGTTTTTTCCCCCCATCCAACTCTATTAATATTAGTCTCCACAGCACCCAGTTCACACCATTGTCCAAGTCATAACAATGAAGGACATTTTGAGGTCAACACTCTCTGTAACAAGGGAACCATTTACCTCTGAATTTTTAGCTGATATTCTTATTTGGGGCTGTATTTCTGAGGACAAAGGTACAACCTCCACCTCCGTAATTAGGACTCATATCCCCCTTTCCTGCTAGAATTACCCTAGGATCTATCCGATTTTCTTTGCCATCTTGCTAGAGGGACTTAATTGTTCCTGCCCTTAAGTTAATCAAGAATTCCTTCTTGGACCCTGATGACATCAGTGTAAATGCGGAGGTCAAATGACTTACCTGTGCTGAGGTCCTGTTTTTGTCTATTGTTGAAGAAGGCGTTGGTTTTTGAAATGCCAGGGTGAAAAGGATAACTGGATAGGTTGTTGCAGGACAGGTTGTTCCATTTGACCAGAAATGCCTCAAGCAAAAGTCCCCCACAATAACACCAGATTTCGACTCTAGCAATGGAGAAATAAAATGCCTTTCCATCTGCTCAAAAGACTGGCTTTCATTGTACCCACATACATTTCTTAGGGACTAGATTTCTCCCACCTGCCCAGAGAGACATGAGGATGGAAATAACCAACGGAGGCAGCTTTGATCAGCCATGGAAAACAGTAGAGACAACTCCCTTCAGGAAGAGGGGTATCATGCATGCCATGCTGGCAGGATATGTGGTCCATCCCTGAGGGGAAGTTGTAATCTGAAGTCTTGATCTACCTGTTGCAAATACACAAGAATTTCTTTTAATTAAAGTGCAAATATTTTTGGCTGATGGCACACCTTTCTACAGAAGTAACTTTAGCTTTGCTGACACAATATTTTATTTTCAGGTCTATCACTATGATTCCAGTGGTTCTTGAAAAACATATTCATAATACTTTAAGGGTTCCATCCAGGATCTTTCCATCAGGAGAGGTACTCGGGAGCCCCTTCCCTAAGGGAAATGAGGAGATGGGTTCTTCCTCTGCTTTATTGTGGAGGCCCTGAGTATTGAGCGACTGGTGCTCTTAGACCGAAACTGGGTATTTGGATTATAGGTGAAAAATAAGGGGACATGGAAATTAAATGTTTCCACTTGGCTTCCAGCTAAACCCTATCCTATAGGAGTTTATCACAACCATCCTATATATAACATGGTCATTTTGTTTGGAAGAAGATGCAAAGATCAAACTCTAGAACAAGGGCATGCAATACGAAGAAAGACAGACAGACAGACAGACAGACACACACACACACACACACACACACGTTTAGAAAGAGTCAAAATTTAAAAATAATACAGGCAGAAATTAACAAAATACAATGAAAACCAAAATTAAATTGTTGGGCTATACATGTTATTCTTAGCCAATGTAAAGAAAGGAATATAGTTCTGACTATCTATAAAACAAAGACAACATAGATTCTGCTTTGGAAAAGTAAAGTCATCATTGATTGAGACCAACAGGAATTTTCTCCCATTCTCAGAGAGAGGAGGCTACATCACTTACTGAGTAATATCCTCGGCATTATCCCCTCTCATAGATTAATTTCTTCGTTTAAGGGTATTTTTTAATGCTGCATACATAATTTTGAGTAAAGTAAGTCCCAAACTCATGGAATTATAGTTCAATGACTGAAATATTGTAAAGATGCTGTACAGAGGGGTCACATTTACACAAGTAAGATAATGAGTATATTTCTTATCAAGCACTGTTCCCCCTCCTTTGTTTTTCTCTTACTATCCCCCACTCCCCCCCACCAAGTCCATTTCCAATGTAGCGTCTTATGAGTATCATTGTTGCTGAAACAAGGACACAGGATGACCCATCGAAATATGTTTAATTTACAAGATTCCATTTCATTATATCTGCCCTAAGCAAACCATGTTCTGAAAGATTCTGTTTTCCAACTATATTAAGTAGGTACTCATATAAATGGTTTTGTAACAGTACAGTCAGAAAATTTATTTGACAGAGTTCTAACTAGGACCAGCACTAGAAAAATAATAAACTTTGAAGTCATAAAGGTAAGATATAACTTGCATTTTTACATTGAGCTTCCTCAGCTTGCATTTCTGAGTTAAGACATGTTTTTGAACTAGACTTTTGACCAACACAAATCTGAACCTTTTGTGTTTCAACTCTGTCATGCATCTTGTTTGTGGAGAGTTTTCTCAGTACCTTCTGAGGACTACTCATGCAGCAATGCGCTTTACAATTTTTAAATCAATTTATCATCACAATCATTTTACTAGATTAGGAAAATGACATCCAGAGAATATGAGAAAGTTCCTAACATCTATTGAGTGTCACATTGTATGGTGCTTCTTATTATGTCATTCTCAGATTTCATTAGATCTTCACCCTTCCTAACAATGACCAATATAACAGACCAATAGCTTCACTTGGATTCAACATGGGCTGATTTGTTAGGTAGATGTCGAAGTGTGAGTATACTTAATTTTGAATATATATTGCTCTTCCCTGGAATCCTAAGAGAGACAGAGAAAAAAAAAAACAGGACGTTTTTAAAAAGTGAAATTACCTTTGCTCCTTTGGATCTATGGATTTCTTACTGTATCTTAAACTGGCTTTGCTCTCTACTTCTATTTCCAACAATTATTCTCATACACTAACCATACCTTCTACTTTTCACACTGACCTTTCTGATAAAGCTACCAGTTATGCAGAAATACTTGTAAGAGTACCCATATGACCTGGCCTTCAGATCTAGGTAGAAGTTTTTTTTGTTTGTTTGTTTCGTTTGTTTGTTTTTGTTTTAGGGGGATTTTTTTTTAAGTCATAGGGCTTGAACTCTGGGCCTGACTACTGTTCCTCAGCTCTTCAGCACTCTACCACTTGAGCCACAGCGCCACCTCCGGTTTTCTGGTGGTTTATTGGAGATAAGAGTTTCATGGCTTTTCCTGCCTAGGCTGATTTTGAACCATGATCCTCAGATCTCAGTCTCCTGAGTAGCCACTAGTGCCCGGCTATATACAAGTTTTTGACATTCTGAGTTCTGGCTTATCCAAATGTATCTTGGTTAGACCTTCACCTGAACATGATTTTTATTAAGAAAATGAGACTTCTTAATAGACCCAAGTTCAGTTACTGAGACTAAAATCTTCCTTACTTCATTCTTGCATAGGTCATTTCCACCTGCTAGGATTTATTTTGTATCATCATTTACTCACAGAAGTGATTTCTCACTGAGTTGTGATTTGAATACCCCACAGGCTCATTCTAAAGAATTTTGGAGTTTTTCTGCCATTACTTTAGTGAATATATTTTCTTTTTTAAAAAAAATTTATTGCCAAGGTGATGTACAGAGCAGATACAGTTACATAAGTAAGGTAATAAGTACATTTCTTATCAAACTTCTTACCCCGTCCCTCATTTGCCTCCTACCTTCCCTCCACCCCAACACCCCCCAAGTTGTACAGATCATTCCCAACATATTGTCTGTGCACATTGCTGTTGCATTGGTTCCCCCTTGCCTTTAGTCTTACCATTCTGTTGCTCTCCTTCTTTTCCCTAATTCAGATAAACAGATATATATATATATATATACATATATATATATATATATCGTATATATATCATCTTATATGGTCATATGTACATATAGAGCTATTCTGCTCATCTGCTAAGATTATCCTAGATGTATACCAATCCTTGCAAGTAAGGGAAAACATGAAACCTATGTTTCTTTGGGTCTAGCTAACTTCACTTAATATGATTTTTTCCATTTCCTTATAAATGGGGCAGTGTCATTCTTTCTGATGGAAGCATAGAATTCAATATATATGTATATATATATATATATATATATATATATATATATATATAACATTTTCTTGATCTTTTAACATCTACTGAATATATTTTATCTTTAGCTTGCCTTTCTTCCATACCAGTTATTTGTAGGCTTATACCATTTCTCTTTTTTCCTGTGCCTATAATTTGTAGGTTTTGTGTTTTAATGGTGTTATAGAGGTCTTCTATGTCCCATCCAAAGTTCTTTGTCCATTTATAATTATTTGGATACATTAATAAATCTGACCTTTATTCAACCCTAATATTCTGTCTTCATCATGTTCAAGTTTCTTAGCAAGACTAAAGGTTTTTTTGTTGTTGTCTGTTTTGTTTTATTTTAATGAGTATTTCATTTAGATTTTTCATGATTTCTATAATTTTATTGAATTTCACTTTCATATCCTATATTGTTTTCCTTATTTCTCTCAACAGTTTATTTGTATAGACTTTGAATATAATGAGAGATCTATATCATCTTTAATATTACTAATCATTCATAGTATCATTTAAGTGTTCTGTCAGGGATTTTATTCACCTCATCATTGTTTGTATCCATTACTATGGCCTCTGAAGAATAAAATGGTCATTTTTATATCCTTTGTGTTTCTACATATTTGCGCATCTGGAGTCATGTCATAGCTTGGAGGTTTTAATTACCTGTAGTCTTTCAGTTGAAGTGTTCCCAATTTTCAAGCAGGTTTCTGTAATAGCAGAGTTGAAGTGAATATTACCACCACTTCAAAGAGGAAAGTATACAGCAATAACAAAATAGACAATTCAAAGCCAAACCTGGTTTAATGTGGAAAAGAAAATTGGAGGGGCTGGGAAGGTGGCTCAGTGGTAGAGCACTTGCCTTGCATACATGAGGCCCTGGGTTCGATTCCCCAGCACCACATGAGCAAAAACAAAACAAGCTGGAAGTGGTGCTGTGGCTCAAGTAGTAGAGTGCTAGCCTTGAGCTGAAGAGCTGAGGGACAGCACCCAGGCCCAGAGTTCAGGCCCCATGACCAGAAAAAAAAAATTGCCACTTACTTTAATCATCTCCCTTCTTTCTCTCATATATGCACATACATTTTCCCTTCCTTCATTGATTCCTTCCCTCCTTTTTCCTTTCTTTCCTTCTATCTTTTCTTCCTTCTCTTTCCATTTTTTATTTTTTAATTTAAAATTGTGATTTATTATTGTTATTTATATATTTTAAAAAAGCGCAAATTGTTAATTTGGGATCAGACCCCAAAAAGAAAAAAGAAAATCAGAAACATTAATTACACTCCCAATATGATTATAGAAGAATGGACCTTGTTAAGCATAAGGCTATTAAAAATTAATTAGTAAAATGAATAAATTGGGGGAGGGAAGCATGAAGAAGAATTAGGGGATGTTGTGGGAGGGGATGATTAGAAACAGTATGTGAGAGCTAGGTCTATGTTTTCTGTTGTTGTTATGGATGTGCTGGTCCTGAAGCTTGAGCTCAGGGCCTGGCCTGGTCTCTCTTAGCTTTATTGCTCAAGGTTAGTGATCTACCACTTAGGCTACAGGTCCACTTCCTGCTCTCTTGGTAGTTAACTGAAGATAAGAGTCTCACAGACTTTATTGCCTGGGCTGGTTTTCTACTTTGAACCTCAGACCTCATCCTCCTGAGAAGCTAGGATTAGAAGTGTGAAAGGAAATTCAGTCAAGGAAAGAGAAAAGCACTCTCCCATAAAAGAAGGCATACAAACATGTTTTAAATAAAATAAGAGGAGAAAGATATATAACAGTTGGATTCTGTAAGGGAATCAGATGATTTTCTCCAATCTCTGGACCTCAGAGTCCTCTCAGTGGATCACCCAATTTCTTCCCTGGTTTCTCTCTGGGCTTACGGAGGCCCATGGGGTCTAGTGTAGCCCATGGAGCCTCCCTGGTTGCAGCCTAGGTAAGGTAGCTATGAATGGGGCAGGCCTCCGTGCATAGCATTCGCTAATAGGGTGGGGCAGTTTCTGGTTCAGTAGCTGCTCTGAGATAGAAT